GTTATGCCCTGAAGGGGCACGGTGGCTAGATGGACACGACCTGTCCATGTGGACTTTCCATAAATACGGAGGTACCAGATGGGGTATTGCCACAACGAACTCAAGTGAGAGTATCAACTCCGTCTACAAGGCGGTTTGTTCACTGCCAATCTCTTCCATTGTTGAGATGAATTTCTGGAAAACGAATGCATGGTTTGTCAATTGAATGCACTGGGCAAGGACAATTGAGGCACAGGGAAAGGTCAATGCCTATAAAGTCACGGAAATAATGGACAATGACAATTGAAAGAGAAGTCGGCACAGTATAACCGTTATGAATCGAGCATCTGGCGAGTATAGCGTGACGACCGGACACCGGGAGGATGGTAGACGTGGTGGCCATCACCATGAAGTTTTGGTCAATTCCAGGGCAAAACTTGGTGAGTGCTTCTGCAAGAAGTATTAGGGGAGAGGATGGGTATTGACACGCTAAAATACAACCCCAAACTGCGACCAAGTGTAATTGCAGTCCGGAAATGCAGAATAGTGGCAAGTTCTATTTATCAACCTGGGGTCTAGATCTACTGCCTACTCCGTGATTATTTATTATCTAGCAGACTAAGTTAAGTGATTGTGGTTTTAAGCAAAAGCAGTAAGACAACAAGAAATGGTTCGAAGTTCTTAAATAGGGGAAGAGTCACTCGGGAATGAGTCCCCCTAGCTCCTTAGTTAGGTCAAATTTGTAATTACCCTTGGTTGATTTACTGTTGATTAAACTACGGAAGATCCGACAGTAGCTTGGAATCTCTTAAGCTGACCAAGCCCTCTCAGAAAGACTAACCGGCAGGCGACTAGCCTTCACCGGGATAGACTATTGAGGCAATAAACACAGAAATCCCCTACTGGAATTGGTTTCCAGTACAAAGCAGTAAATCGATTAACTCTCGTATAACCAATCTACTACTACCGATTGATGAAGCTCTAACAACCTAATCAGATTCTATCTACCTCAAGTTGCAGCAGAAATCAAGAAAAGATGACCAGACTTCAATTGACTCAATGAATCATGCATCAATCAATTATAATCAATCAATATATCAATCTAAAGTCATTACAATCAAGATTCCTAACATATGGAGCTAGGGTTCTTCATACCCAAGTGAGAGAGGGTTATACTCCATAGAGAGAGAGAGAGAGGAAAACAGAAATCAGAGCAGTCATACTCATAAAGATGGGGATAATTTGCTCTGGGATATCGATCTTCACTCCTAGGGATGCAATCTGGGCTTCAATGGTGAGTAATGCACTCCAAATAGCTCCTAGGGTTTTTTCTTTGCACTTTCTCTCTCTAAAACTCGATTTTATGCTAAAAAAGTCGTCCCTTTTCTCCTTTGGCTCGAATCTGCCTAAAAACCAGCTTCTGGGCAAAACACGGTCGAGGAAACGCCCGTGCTTTTCTTCTGCCCGCCCGTGTTTTGCCTCAAGTAAGGTAGACACGGCTATGTCTCCTTCAAAACACGGTCGTGCCCCATGAGTGACACGGCCGTGTTTCTCCTCCATGTCGCCCGTGTTTTAGTCCCTCAGCAGCCCACTCAGACACGCTCTCAGCAGTAAAAACATGGCCTGTGGAACACGGCCGTGTTTCAGTCATGGATTCCCGTGTTTTGGCTCCAGCCTCACCAAACGACCCGAAACTTGCGCTATGCCTCCCTTTACTCGCTAGGACCTGAGATATGACAAAATTCGAGCTAAAACGGTCATGAACAAGGGTGCCAACATGTGCAAATATGACGCTATCAGCCATGTTCGCATGCCATGGCCATAATCAAAAGAAGGAGCAAAGACCCCCGTCACTTTGTGAGTCCATTCCTCAATATCGACTCACTAAAAAGTTTCTATGGACGGAGCTTCCGTGCATTGCCTGATGAAGCTTACTGGCCGGTGTATCAAGGAAAGTTGATCATACCGCTCTTCGGACAGAGGCGTGAACCGGGTCGCCCGAGGGTAAAGAGAATTCCGAACGAAATGGATCAAAGTGGAAGACCACCACGAGGCCCGATATGATGTTCCGTATGGAGAGTTCCAGGGCATGATAAACGAAATTTTCCTAGTAAGATTGGACCACAAAATCAAGGGCCTGATGTGGGGGACTCAGTTAATGCAACATAGTTTGCAGTGATCATTTGCGGAGATCATTTGTTGGTATTTGTTGTGTATGTGCTATCTATTGTCAATGTGATGACAGTTGGAACTTGCGTGTTTGCTCAATATGACGGGCAATTTTTTTTCAACATATAAGAGGGCAATAAAAATCTGAAAACATTATGTCTTGGGAATCACTAAAATAACATTCAATACTTAAGTGAACACGAAAAAACAAAAGCAAGGAAGTTGATGACTACATATTTACACATGTTTTACCCCTCATTCCTTGATTGTTTAGCTTGGTGTTTATTCTACTTTGGCCTATTTTATGCTAGGTTGTGTTCCTTTGTCACATTTCAGGTCCTAGCATGTAAAGTGAAGCCTAGGCGCAAGTTTCAAGTCAATCGGAGATCAATTGGTGACTCGGGGGGAGAAACTCGGGAATGACTTGAGGAAGAATGGATTTCTACCTCATTTTATTGACAAATAATCATGTAATCTTATCATGAAAAGAAAGATAACGAGACTACGAGCATCTGGGATCAAACGGCGCCTGAATCGGAGCTCAAACAAGCACAAACGAGCTCAACGAAGTTTAGGAGTGCATGCTGGAAATTGTGCACGGCCGTGTAAAATTGTGCACGGTCGTGTGAGTTTTCCAGGGGGTTTGCACGTCCCAAACCCCAATTTGCACTGCTGAGCAAGTAGGGGGTGCAAATCTCAGCAGGTATAAAAGCTGTTTTGCGATATTTGGAGAGAGAGAGCTGGGTTTTGGATCCCAAACACCCAAGGGACGAACCCTAGAGAGAGAGAGACTTGGGATCATTCTTGGAGCTATTTTGGAGGATTTCTTCACCATTGGAGCTCGAGAATCAAGATTAGAGATGGAGATTGAAGATTTAGATCAGATTTCTGCAGTCTCTCTCTTCTCTATGGAGTAACTTCCCTTCACTTAGGTTTTGAGGAACCCTAGTTCCATGCATTAGGATCTTTCTTGTATGAATTTTTGGATGCTATATTGTGTGATTATAATCGATTAGGCATGATTTATTCAGTCAATTGAATCCTGATTAAATTCTCTTGATTTCTGCTTTAACCTTTGATAGATAGAATCTAATTAAGTTAAGAGAGCTTCCATGATTGATAGTAGTGAATTGTTTGTGCGAGAGTCAGTCAATTCACTGCTTCGTACTGGAATTCATTCCAGTAGTGGAGATCTGTGTGAATCGCCTAAGCAGTCTATCCCGGTGAAGGCTAGTCGTCTTCCGGGTATTCTGTCTAAGAGGGTTTGGTCAGTTTAAGAGGTTGAAAGCTAATTTAGGATCTTCCGCAGTTTAATCAACAGTAGATAAACCAAAGGTAATTAAAACTTCGACCTAATTAAGGAGCTAGGGGGAATCATACCTAAGTGAGTTCCCAACTTGTAATTAGTAGTTTAGCCTTAGTTTAGTTAGTAGAGTAGTTTAGTAAATCAATCATTAATCTGGGTTGTCCACATCAATTGCTACTGGATGTGGAACTGGTGCGGGCATGGGCGGGTATCTATGATGATCACGACCCCGTGCTCAGATACACCCAAGCAGGCTGTTTGTCATCCTCCTCAGCAAGCCCACTTCTTCCTTTACCAGTTGATCTCGACCATGAGTCATATCCTTGATACGCTCGAGCCCATCAACCAAAATCACATCAAAAAATTAGCAAGGCTAAACTAATGATATGTCCATGAAAAAGCAATAAATTTAATTGATTACACGGAATTACTTACCAATGCACCATCTGCCGCACCCTCCGGAGTCACGTACCTAACTGATTTTTGTCGATATCTATCCATGTATAGATCATGATACCCCATTAGACCCACAGCTGTAGGAGTGAAAATCTCAAAATCTTGTCGGTTCTCCCACATCCGGATGAATTTCGACACCTTCAAGGGCCAATCTTGCTCACCTTGCCGGCCATCTCGGTGGTGAAACTCTCTTTGACTCTCGAGGACCTCTAAACGAATGCATTGCTCCCAACCAAATTGATGGAGACATCTATCCTGCAAATGCCACTCCACGATATGGTGACAAATGAGAGGGACTTTCGTGCACCATTGACCGATATGACCCGGAAATTGCTGGCAATGCCATGTAACGATGTTGGCAGGGTATGGATCGTAAATGATCTACAAAAGAAATGATAAACTTAAGTTAAACGAAATTGGAAAATAGTTATAACATTTCGAAGTATTCTAGTTACCTCTCCTTCCCCAAGTCGCTCTAGCCTCCTCCGATACTCCGCCAACCAGTGTTGGGAAAGATTGTCGCATGTTGTGGCTCCCACCCACCTTATTAGTAAGACAATAATGAAATGTTATAACTAAATAACGAAATTGTTTTATGAAAACCATGATTGGGTATGAGAAATTTACCTACAACCATAAGCTTCACCTTGTAGGGGATGGTAGACGGGCCAATTCCTGTCGGGACGTTTCTCCGGTGCAATCCATGGCAGATGCTCCCAAGCCCAAAATTGAACGATGAACATTGCCCCGCCAACCTCCCTCATAGCTTTGAGAGATGCATTACACAAATGGTGGTAGATATTAGCTGGGCAAGCGGATGCCCAGCTCAACTCCCCCATTGCATCCCAAATACCAAGGAGGATCCTAAGCCATCCACAACTAAATAAATTGTTGGATTTTTTTGGAGAAGAACACTCCTCCGATCATGCCTATGAGATAGACATGAGCATATCTTTCCTTCACCTCCACGGGACTTTCCTCGTTTAGGGGCACCATGTCTTTTGTATGATCCTGTTGGTCCTTCAACCACTTCGTCAACAAAGTGATTGATACTTGGTTTTTCCTCAATGGTGCTAAGCGATCTGTCGCATCAACGCTCCCCTTGATTGGCACTCGCACCCCCCAAAAAACTGTGGATCAAATGCTGCCAACCGGTCATATCACCAACATCCTCGGGCGCATGATCACTCACACACACCGCTTTGCCGTCGATGGGCAGATGTGTTAGGATGGCGACGTCCTTTAGAGTGATAGTGCACTCTCCTTCGCGATAGTTGAAGCAATGTGTCTCTTTTTGCCATCTCTCCACCAATGTGGCGATGAGCTGATGATCAATTTTTATGCCCACGAAATGCATAATCGACTCCAACCGTGCCCTTTTGAGAAAGGGCAAAATAACGTCGTTCCATGGGAGCATATTGGTCGTACCCCTGTAGCGGAGTATTTGGTATACCTCCTAGCGAAAAATTTAACATTATTTTTTTTCGTTGAATCAGTTACCCTTTTACTATTAAGCAAAGAATTGCAAATAAGCAATCCAATAACCAATACAACGAAATGGGTCGCCATTGTGGCTTCCCAGAGCAGGAAATGAAAAAAAAAAAGACAGAAACCCTCAACCATTACCAACTACAAACCCCTACTACTACTGCAATCTTAACAGGCTTAAATCTTGCTTCATTAGCACTTGTACCGCTGCTGCATCCCGATCCTGCTCAGCATGACACCTTCTGCACCTCTCTTGCCATATATACGTAATCAGTAGACACCATTTGACTCCAATCAAACTACTCTTGTCCCTCTGAACAACATAACAGATTGCCTGCAAAGACTCTGCCCAGGAGGATCTGCACAACAACTCAACCTACAAAAAGCCCTGCACCATTTGCTTAACATACTTCCATTGCCACAGAGAAAACAACCATCTTCACTTAACTTTCCCCAACGCAAGAGCTTATTTTTAGTAGTGATTCCATCAAGTATAACTAGCCAGGCAATAAAACTGAATCGAGGAACACTACTCTGTCCCCAAACCACTTTATACCAGGGCACTGCACTATACTTAGGACGCATGGAATTCCAGACCAGCTTGACCGAGTACTTGTCCATAGGTGTACCATTCCACAAAGCACAATCCCCTTGCCTGCTGAGAAGACATTGAACCTGGGAACGTTTCTTCAGAATTCGTCGCCAAGCCCAGGAGCTATTTGCATTCTCCTTCATAGTCCAGATGTCCCCCTGTCTTACAGCGATATTGAAGCATCCAGGCTACCCATATATCCCCTGACTGCATCATTAGGAGCCACAACAACCTTAAAGAGCATGTAGAATTCCACGAGCTGAGATCACGAATACCAAGTCCTCCTTCCTTTTTAGGCCGAGCAAGTCTTTCCCAAGTCTTTCCCAAGCAATCTGAGCTCTTCCTGAATCATTTCCATGCCAAAGAAAGTCCATACATAGCTTCTGTACCCGCTTAAGAATCTTCTTTGGTAGGATAAACACCTGGAGCCAATACTGTAACAGACCTGTAATCACTGAGGTAATTAACTGCAACCGACCAGCATAGGTGAGCTTTTTAGCTCTCCATGAACGAATCTTTTTATTGATTGCTGCTGCCAATGCATCACATTCTCTATCTGTCAATTTCCCTGATACGAGTGGTAATCCCAGGTATCGCACATGTAAGTTCCCTTCAGTAAACCCCGATAGTTCTTGAGCATTTTGCTACTACTTGACAGATTCTCCACCAAAGAAAACCGAACATTTCGCAGGGTTACATTTAAAACCTGACTGCCAGTAGAACTGATCAAGGGTCTGTTTTACCGCCAGTATTGCTCTTGCTGATCCCACTGTGAAAATCAGCACATCATCTGCGAAACATAGATGATTTAATGAGATTTTGCTGCAAAGCGGGTGATATGGAATCAATCCTTATTCTGAGGCCCTACTCAACATACCCGTAAGTCCCTCCATAGCAATTGCAAATAGATAAGGCGAGAGGGGATCCCCCTGCCTCACTCCCTTCTTTGCCTTAAAGAATCCTTTCATACCTCCATTGACACAGATGCTAAATCGAGCAGCGGAGACACATGTGTATATCCAATCCAAGTAGCAAGAAGGAAACTCCATCAATCTCATTACTATAAACAGATAATCCCAATTGACAGAGTCGAAGGCCTTCACTATATCAATTTTGATAGCACATCTGGAAGAAAGTTGCTCTCTATGATATCCGCTCTAGATCCTGAGCTAGCATTATATTATCTACTATCCGCCTACCCTTAATAAATGTTGTCTAGTTCAAACTGATTATACTAGGTAGTACTTCACTAAGTCTCTAAGCCAAAAATTTTGCTACTATATTGTAAAGCACATTTATGCAAGAAATCAGACGAAATTCTTTAAAGGTCTCAGCGTTCAGTACCTCAGGAATCAAGGCAACAACAGTGGCATTTACTCTACTGAGAAGTCGATTTGTCTCAAAGAAAGCAAGAACTCCTTTTGTAATATCCTCCCCCACAATGTGCCACGTTCTCTTGAAGAAACCCGAGGAAAACCCATAAGGCCAGGAGCCTTATGAACATTCATATGAAAGACTGTTTCCCTTATTTCTTCAGCTGTTACTGTTTGAAAAAGCATTTCCATACCTTCTTGAGAAAGTTTTCTATGAATTATCCCATCTAAGTATTGACAATCCGGCTTTACTTCAGAATTAACCACTCCAAACAGGTTCTGATAAAAAGCTACAGTCGCATCAGACACCTTATCAACTTCCTCAATCCCTTCTCCTGCGTTAGTTTTGATTCTCCTAATCGCCTGCTTAGCCGTTCTTATTTTCACAGATTGGTGAAAGTATCTGGTGCTCTTATCTCCCCTATTAAGCCCTTATTCTCTGGACTTCTGCCAATACAAACCTTCCTCAGCTTTTTTGCATCCTCCAATTGAGAGACTAACTCTTTTTTCGCCTGTAAATTCTCAGCATTTGGAGCAGAGAAGCAATCAGCCACTATAAGAAGCAACTGCTTCTCTAACTCCTTCACTTGGGAACTAATATTAGCATAATACTCCATGTTCAACTTAATCAGAGCCTTCTTGACCTCTTTGAGCTTAGTCTGCACAACAAACCAGGGACTACCATGGCAACTAACTGACCACGCCTCCTCCACAATCTTCAAAAACTTAGGATGATCACCCCAGAAGTCAAAATATTTAAATGGCTTTGGAAGGGTCTTCTTAGTGACTTTAATCTGTACTAATATGCCACAATGATCCGAAAATGTGCCAGGAATTGCTTCAGTGACACAATTTGGGAAAGCAGACAACCATGGAACATTCACTAGGACTCTATCCAACCTCTTAGCTATAGGGGTAAGCTGCTGACTATTAACCCATGTAAATAAAGGACCTAGAGTATTCACATTTTCCAACTGCATAGTATTCCTCCACTCCTCAAAATCTGACATACTTGAAGTAAGAGGCACCTGATTTGAGGCTTCACTTGGCTTCATGATTGCATTGAAATCACCTCCTACTATCCAAGGGAGTCCAACCACTTTTATTTGACCAATTTCAGCATAGGTACCTCTGCGTTCCAATTCATCATTAGCCCCATACACTGCCGTTAAAAAGAAAGAGTCACCACCCTGCTCCTGAACCATAGCATGAAGAAAATTCTTACTCGGTTTCAGGATAGTAATTCTAAACTCCAGTTTCCAGAACAACCAGATACAACCTAAATCAGAATCACAGTAGCTCAGATATCGCTCCCAATAAGCTAAAAAACTTTCAGAAATTTCCTCAGACTTTACTTGTCTCACACGGGTCTCCAACATAGCCACTATACTGACCTTCAGACGTCTCAGGACTTGTGTTAAGTCCTGCCTCTTCGAGGATTTGTTAAATCCTCGAACATTCCAGAATAGACAGTTGATGGTGAGGACTGGGGCTGAAGCCCCGCCTTCTTGGTGCCTCTTTTTGGAGCATCCTGTAGCCTAACAACTGCATCCTCACCTTGGTCAGCAAGAACACTGAATGAAGAAGGCGAAATGTGCAAAACACTTGTAGGACTAGGAACTGGAGACCAGATTCGAGGTTTGGCTCCATGAACCACTATCTAAAATTAAGCTTCAGAGGGAAATTTTGGAGATGAAACTGCTGATGGCAAGGGGGATGAGACCTCCGAGAATGATACATCAAGATTAATCCCTCCTATGGTGATTCTTGAAGAGGAACCAACCAATGAAGGGGAGCCCATTCCCAGCTCCTTGTTCTGACCCGAGACTTCATTATCTACCAGTGGGATAGGAGAGACCGGGGGTACCTCCACTCTCTCCTTTCCTTTATCATTCTGCACCTGCTGCCCTGGCTTAGCCACCCATACCTTGTGCCCCGGAATAAGACCACAGTACTCTATACCAAACAACTTGCAGACAGGACATACTGGGGGAAGGTGACAATATTCCACACGCACGTGGATCGGGATATCATCATCAGGCCAGACCGTCACTATTTATGGGAACGGACCCTCCGCCTGCAGCTCAACCAGGACTTTAGCAAATCCCATCCTCCGACCCAGTCTTGTGGTATGATCAACTCCCAAAGGGATACCCACCCAACTTCCAATTCGACTCAGCCCCTGGAAATTCCCATACTCAAGAGGAACATTCGACAGTTTCAGCCAAATCGGTAGAGCCTTCTTGCCTAAATCTTCTGCACTAATTCCCGGAGTCCAGGGGCGAAGATACAGCAAATTATCATTGTGAAACCATGACCCATTTTCCAGAATCCAATTGCAAATTGCTTGTGAAGGAAGCTGAATGAGAATCAGATTCTCGCAAAGAAGTGAAACCCTAACCTGGCCGTCCTGCCCCCAGAGTTTATTGGCCCATCGTCGAAGCACCAACAAAGGAGGAATATCCTGCAAAAATTGACCTACCAGGCAATGTTTCCATCGAGCAGCACCTTCATCTCTGACAATCTTTGGCATCCGCAACCCACCATTCACAACTTCAAGTTTGATAAAAGAGTCGATTTGCTTCAGAAATCCCAAATAAGCTCGCCCATGGCTTTGTCGGATGTAGCTCAGGCGCCGGATTTGACGATGAAGCCATGGGATACTGAACGCTTCAAGAAAAGAGAAGAGGGGGAAAGGATTCTGTACCGGCTCAGGCGCCGGTGCGACGACAAGGACTGTCCGGCACAAACCCTAATCACCAGATCGCTCTCGCTACTTTCTCTCTCAACTTTTAAAACCTTCCAAACAGGTCCAATGTGTTAAATTTAAATTATTTATGATATACTAGTAATAATTTTTTTTATAACTAAATTTATTAAAATAAATGAATTAACTTTGACCAT